ACCAGCAAAAGACGATGACGAAACTCAAGATGGAGAACTTGCACAACTACCACCTGATTGTGACAGTGAAGAACCAGGACAAGTTGCATGCAGTACGACCTGGTTCACTCAAACCTCTGTATGACTTTCGGAGGATTTTTCACAAGCTGCCTCGCCTGGCGTCTTCTGACCCCACACAGGCGAAACGACTCATTGTTGGTCTACACGAACGACTATGGCATGCTCCAGTTGGTGATGTTCGCAACATCCTTCAAAGATGTGGACAGCCATGGGAAGTCGTACAACTGGCAGCCGAAGCTGTGGCATCTTGCGCTGTTTGCCGCAAGTACTCTCGAGCAGGGCGACGCCCACAACATCGAGGAGCTCATCTTTCTCCAAGCTTCAACGACTTGGTCCAGATGGATGTTTTTCAATTTCAAGATCATCTTTTCATGCTGGTGATTGACGAAGCCACGAGATACAAGGTGGCGACATCCTGCCCTGGGCGATACCTCAAAGATATCCTGGGAACTTTGATGAAATGTTGGATTCGCTACTTTGGTCCGATGAAGATTTTCGTCACTGACCAACAATCTGCACTGATGACCATTGAGGCTGGACAGGAGTTCCAACGACTTGGAATCGAGAGAAGACCTGCTGGCACAACGACCAAGAAGCAAGGTCAGATGCACACCACGACCGATTTGGTCGAGCGCCACATTGGCCTGCTGAAGATCCAGGCCGAAAGTGGACGCTATGGCATCGAGTTGGGGATGGAAGAACTGGCTGCAGAAGCAGCTATGTCACAGAATCTGACCATGAGCGTTGTAGGGTACACCCCATCCATACTACTCTTTGGAGTTCTTCCACGTGGCTTCCTTGAACCTGAAGCTGAACATCCACATGGAGACATCACTGCAGAAAGCCTTGACATCAACTGATGTGGAGAAGGCAGTGAAGAGGATGAAACAGGTGGTGGAAGAGCGCTGGCCTTTTCGGCCATTCAGAAGAAGACAAGGGCGATTGGAAGATGGTCAAGTTCCCCAAGAACGACAGCCCATCTGGCGATCAGATGCTGCGAGATGCCAAAACTCTCATGGAGTACCACTTCGAGCACTTCACCCTACATGGCATCCGTTTTGGAAGAGGAATGGAAACAATCTCAACACCGAGATTTCCCAAAGGCATCTTGATCACTTGGCCATTTGGCACACTTGGATTTTCATTGACTGAAAACCCCAACGACTCTCACATCCACATCAAAGAATACCTCAAACACAACATTGAAGACCTTTGCCACATCTACCTCTATGGCTATGCCAAGCACAACCACGAGGACCCACCCATGCCTGCAAGAATTACCCGAAGAAAACCTTTGCAGACACCTGGACAAGATCAACTACCTGATGATGCTGAGATGGAAGTTTCCTATGACCACAAGAGGAAAGACCCAGAGACGAGGACACTTGTCATCGCTCCTGAGAAGAGGAAGCAGAAGATCCTGTGGACTTCAACAGAACTTCTACATCAACGATCAATCTGGTGGATGATGCAGAGATCAAGAAAGATCAACCTGGAGCCAACACCAATTTGGTACGAGCTCGACGACCGATGGATACAAAAGAAAGCTGCATCATAAATCAAGGTGAACAAAACCAACTACCTGCTCCACTTGCACTGCAAGACGGAAGCCTACCTCAACATCGACCTCAAGGATGGCCAGGTCTTCAGAGTTGACTCTGACACTGACACTCTGACGGAAGATCAACTGATCAACAACTGGCAAGACTTTGAGAACTCCGACCACCAGGAGCTGGAACAGTTTGTGAATGAGAAGGTCTTTCGAAAAGTTCCTCTGGCAGACTTACCAGATGAAGTTGTGGTGGTGGACGCAACTTGGGTACGAAGTACAAGCGCATGCCCTGCGGCAAGATGAAAGCCAAGAGCAGACTTTGCGCTCGGGGTTTCTTAGACCCACAAAAGCAGGAGTTGCCCACACGTTCAACCACAGCTACAAGACTTTCTCAACGCCTCATCCTCAGTGTGGCATCCACACATGACTTTGTCTTGGCCTCGCTGGACGTTTCTGGAGCTTTTCTGAAAGGGCTGACATTTGAGAAGATTCGCCAGATACTGGCACAAAAGGGCTTAGCATCACCACCACGCCGAGTGGTGATAGTACCACCTCCAAATGTTTGGAGACATTTGTCTTCTTTTGACCCTTCCTTCAACGTGCCTGAAGAGCTCTATGTCGCTTTTGGTTTGGAATGTCTCAAACCTGCGTATGGCCTGGTGGATGCACCTCTGGCTTGGCAGATGACTCTGCAACAGTTTCTGGAGGAGAACGGAGGAACGCAATCACTGCTGGACGATTGCCTGTGGCACTACAAGAATCTTGACGGATCCATCAAAGGTGTCATCAGGACCCATGTGGACGACCTTGCCATCACATGCCGCCAGACTTTTCTGGACGAGCAGTTCAAGCTGACGACCAAAGCCTTCGGCAAGATCTCCTTGCAGATGACTCCATTCACCCATTGTGGATGTCAATACCCCAAGATTCCCAACGGGTACAAGATGGATCAACAAGCGTTTGTCAACGCCCTGAAGACCCAGGACATCGAGAACACCAAGGACGGCAACAGACCTTTGACTGCTGCTGAAACAACAAAGTTCCGCAGCATACTTGGTGGTTTGCTTTGGCTCACGGCCACACGTTTGGACCTGATAGCCGACGTGGGCATCCTTCAGTCCAAGGTCACCAAGGCCACTGTGAATGTCTTCTCTAGCCAACGCAGTGGTTCGCAAAGCCAAGCTCAAGCAGTACGAGAACTTGGGCCTGATCTTCAAGAAGTTCCCTAAGGACATTCCTTGGAAGCTCTTGTGCATCCATGATGCCTCTGCAGCATCCAAGGGGCGCACATACGCCCAAGAGGGAGTGCTGATTTTGCTAGCACCCGACAACATGAAGTTCGACCCGAAGGTTCACACCATCAACGGCGAGAATGTGGAGGAGCAGATCTTTGGAGGAACAGCACACATACCGTTCTCTCATGGCTCAAAGGCAAAAAGGGTATCATACTCCACAAGTCATTCTGAGACTTTGGCTGCGATCTCCGGTTTGGAGACTGCGACTTTGGTGGGCCTACGTTTAGCAGAACTCTTGATGCCCGAGAAGAAGCCCACACCTCAACAGCTGGCAGCATTGCAGGAATCTGGCATTCCTTACTTGCCTGTGGACTCCTACACAGACTGCCGAGACTTTTGGTCGCTGACAGTGGGCTCTACAGCCTTACCTCAAGACAGAAGCCAGCACATCTACATCCTTCAGATCCGAGAAGCCAGAATTCAAGGACGCATCAGATGGATGATACTCATCCCAACGCAATCAATGACGAGCGATCCATTGACCAAGGTGATGGTTTCGCGACCTCTACTTTCTTTTGAGCACTGGACAGGTGGACTTTGCCAACGAACCTGGCCATGCAATCGAAGCTCGACGGCTTCCCAAGATCAAAGACTTCACTGAAGATGATTTGGAGCTGGGAGATGACAAGTGGCATGAGTCCTACATGACTGCCGAGGACCTACCTACACTACATCACAAAGTACCTGGACGACATCAACTGGGTGGAACACCAAGGCCAATTTTTGGCTGCTGAATTTCCTGTGCTTCGCCAACGTGGTCAGCCCAGCACAGCCGAGCAAGATCTCTGACCAGGCGCAATGCAGCGCCGACGACTTTGGAGGAGGAACAATAACAGTTTCACAAGACCAGCAATACGTACAGGTCACCATTTTGTCAGTCATTTTGGTGGCGATTTTCTGCCTCTGTGGAGCACTATGGCATTTTTGGAGGCGACTGTTGGCCATGAAGACTCTTTTAGAAGAGCACACCAACAGAGCTTTGCTGCCGATCATCGAGAGGTTGATCGATTTGGAATGTCACCATGAAGGAGTGACAGTGGAATTGGATGTTTTGAGAAGACAGTCTGCCGACAGCCGTGGCGACTTGGAAATACTTTTCCGAGCAGTTCGACATGCGTCACCACATCCTGAAGAACCTGCACGACAACGTCTACGTCTTCAAGATCCACGACCTGTAGCTGAAGAACCCGATGGAGAAAGAGACGCTGGAGTGACATCACCTCAACCTGAACCTGAGACCCCAAGGGGAAGACCTTTTCAAGCGATGCCTCGAGATCACGAGATGGAGAACGAGAAGGGCCAGACAGTGAAGAGTTCGAGGAGGAGTACGATCATACAGATGATCCTTCTTTAGATGATTTCACCCACGACCGGAACGAGTACGAACGACGAGCTCAACAAGCACATGATCGAGCCCGACGCGAGCATCTGATTCACCATCTCACCATCCAGGGCAACAACCTATACAGGTGGCGATTCATTCCTATGTGCAGCAGTACTTCAACGAAGGGCGCATTCCTTCAGCAACCATCGACCAGCTCTATAGCGAGCATGCTCCCTACCATCCACTGGTGGGACAAGAAGGAGATGAAGCAGTACTAACAATCTCAGTGCGCGGACAGAACTATTTCATCCTACAAGAAGGAGAAGAACAACTCCAGTTTCGATCACTGGAAGGTTTGCATGGATTCCGCCTTTCGAGGTTGACGGCCAGACAAGATCCAAGCTTGCTGCCCCATGAAAGACCTGGAAGAATCCAGAACTACCTCATGCACTACCAAAGACTTTGAAGAACGAGTTCAAGCAGCACAATAGCACGATGAGCAGACTCGACATATCCTACACGAAGCATCCTTCATTTTCACCTGCCATGTGTAACAACCACATGAGCCATGCACACGCAGGTGCACCTTTGGCCCTAACCGTTAAAAGAGCTGCCATTCCGAATCATTGCATGTTTTGATCAGATTTGCTTTGTTTTTCAGGGTTCGGATTTTTTGTGAGATACATGATTGTAGGATCTCTCGATTCAGATTTGGGCAAGAGGTTGGCAAGCTTAAAATTGGGATTCATTTGTGATATGGTTTAAATGCATCTAAATGTTGAGCGTTTGGAGAAGTATGTTGGGTCAAATGCACTTTGCTTACCATGTGATGATAGTTTTCGTATTCATTCAATACGAGCGGCCCAATTGTGTGGAGATATTACATCTTGATGTTCTTTGAAACCTCTGTACTTATATTTCAGGCGTTGAGATATCTTTTGGACCGGAAGTTCTGTCCAGCGTTGTACTTACCCATTGCTTCCCCAATCCTGGCATCGTTTTGCCACATGTTGCTTCGAACGTCTTGTTTCATTTGCCTTTACCGTTTGCATTTTTGATTGCGGGAAGCTCATCGTCTAGTCTCACAAGATTGCCTGTGTCGTGTTTGTTTTTGGCTAGGGTTGCCTTCAGAACCCGGTCTGTGCAACTTCGAAACATTGCAACCCAGACTCGCAGTTGAAAATTGAAAGGCTCCCAGTTCTCAATGGATAAGTTTATATGAGTTCTACCTGAATTCTTGCAGTTATACATATCTGTCAGCAAGCAGCCTTGCACCTTTTGAACTCGCACACAGGCTTTGGCCATTGCGGCTCTAGAGTTGAAGAGCTCCGACAAGAAGCACTGAGCGAACTGATGCTGAATATAGTGACACGGATCAGGGGGTCCCAGTAGACAGAAAATTCACTTACACGGTGAGTGGGACAAGTGCCTCAGGTTACCCTTTGCGAATCCGTATTGGTCGGTATTCCTGAATGAAAAACTTGCATAGCTTGCACCTGGGCCCCGCACACAGAGAAACACGAACCCACAGCACATGGAACCCGAGCTTTGCAACCCAACAGCCGTGACAGTTTCAAATTCAAGGCGAAGGGACACAATTGGGAGAATTGGGAGACCTCTGGAACCAACAGAGAGAGAAGTGGGTGACAAGTGGAAGATAATTGGAAGACATTTGGGAGACAACTGGGAGACAAGGTGGGAGGGTGGGAGACCAAGTGGGAGACATGGCGGGAGACAAGGTGGGAGACAAGGGGGACACAGTGGGAGACAAGGTTTGAAGGTCCCCGGAACCCTGCACATACATGGGCAAGGAGGGAGAGTCGGGATACCACCCCCTGCTTCTAGAGATTGAAACCCAACAGTTTTCTGCTGTTGGCAATAATGGAATTCAATGTCTATGGTGTGAGGCTACATGTAAAGTTCCAGATGTTCACCAGCACCCTAATCTGGTGTGAAGTTCGGACGTTCAAAGCTTCCCAATCACTGAGTGGAAACGCCAATGTCAAAGACATTGACATTTTGCGACATTTTGCGACATTTGCACCAGCGTCACAGACGATGCAGGGCAAAGAAACAAGTCCAGTCCGCTGTTCGCAGATTTGCTGGGGAATTGTAATCAGGAACAACGAAACATGTTCAGCAGTTCAGCACCTTTTTCCCAACTGTTCCTGAAAGTGGCAAGTCGTTCCAAGGTTGTGCCACGGCAGCCATGGCAGTTGATGTTTGAGAAAAGCGAGCAAAGGTTTCCTTTTACACGTGCTAGGGCAGAATCAGTAGCATTCGCATGTGACATCAGCATATGCATTGCACACACCACGTACATCCTTCGCTGAAAATGCCAGAGCTGCACAAGAATATGTCATGATATGTCCAATTGCTTTAATGATAACTTTGCGCATATTTATTTTCGCTCTTTGGGGGTGACATGTATCTACACAATATATATAATATATAAACATATTTTATATACATATATCATATATATATAAAGGTCTTGGATCAAGGTGCCCCCCATAGCCTTTGACTTCCGTCCTGACCTGAGCGGTGCCTTTTCGCCATTGTGGTACCGCGGGCACTATTGACTAGTGCCCTATCGCTACCAGATCTTGGTCATTCAGCTTGCGCCTCCGCATTGATCTTTTCTGCGCTGGGCCTCCTGGTTTTGGCCGATTTCTGAAAGGTGTCCCGGCACCTCAACTCCCCCGGGTGGCAAAGTGCTCTCCTCACTGGGTCTGTGATCACCTCAGGCTCTGCGGTGGCCTTATTCACCGGTTTTACATTTTGCAATTCCATTTTGATTCATTTACATTTGGTTCACTGTTGCGGCCTCTCTGGGTTCTGCAGTGTCCCTAAGACCTTTTTTCACTTGGCCCTTCAGTGACATTTGGTTTACAATTTTGGATTTGCTGTTTTCGCAAATTTTGAGTTGGCCTTGCTTGGTTCTGCGGTGTCCCGAACACCTTGCACACTGGGCCACTCCATTGTTTGCGAACAATTTATGCAATGTGCAGTTTTGGTGATCTACAACATTCTATTTGCGACTTTTCTGGCAAACCACGGCTTCAACTCTCACCTGGCGACGCAAAAGTCGGCGTCAGCGCCCCCTGGCCAGACACCTTTGGTGGCTACATCGTAGGGGGAGGAGAATCAGTTCAGAACGGGCGCTTCGGTGGATCCTGCGCACACTTCGAGCACACCATTCACGAGACCAACCCTTTCTTTCTCAGGTACAGTCACAGATTGCAACAATGGCTCAACCTCAGAAGAATGCAGGATGGCTCTGTTTATGGTGCCGTGATGAATGGAAAGCACGCACTATGTTGCCACAGATGTGGAGGAAAATGGTACGAAGTTGGAGAAGACACAGAGGACATGGATCCATCGTGCACAACATGGCATCGCAGCCCGAGTCGTCATCATCCAACATGGGACAATTCCCAAAAACCGCATTCGCCGAGACATGGAAAAGGACGAGGACGAGGGAAGGCCCCCAGTCCTCGACCGAAACAGAACAAGAACAGGAGAGGAAAGAAACCCCAACAGGGGGCAGAGCAACCTCAGCAACAGGCATCGAAGCAGACAGCAACTCCAGCTCTTCCAGATCCAGGGCAGGGATCACAATCCTGGAGGGCTCTGCTACAAATGCAGCTAGCAGCCAATCAAGCTGCTCAATCCACGACGGAGCCTGCGGCTTCAACATCATCTTCCACAGCTGCCCCGCCACAAGAGTGCAGCAATGAAGAACTTGCTTTCCTCACTCAAGAAGGCTCACGACAAGTTGTCCCTGGAGAATCAGGACTTGGTCAAGAGTCTTCAGGTGAAGGAAGAGAAGGACGAAGAGAAGGAATTGCAATTTGCCGCCAAGAGCTTGGGGAGAGCGAGGCGAGATTTGCAAGAGGCCCTCGAGGCGCGCACCAATCTCCACCAGAAGTGGCGCACGTTCCTCTCTATGAGTGTGGCGCAATGGCAGACTTTTACACAGGAGTTCCAACAACAGGAGCATCTCGCTCTGCAGCAGATTCAGGCTGCAAAGGATTCCTTGGCGCAAGCCAAAAAGAACCTCGAAACGTCCAAGGAAGCGTTTCATTCCCCCAGGGACCCCAAGAACAATACGGAGATCCAGGACCTCATGTCAGAGGAGGACACGCAAGTCGATTCAGGAGCTTCGAAGCTTCACGAGGGGCTTCAACATCTCACATCCTCACTGCAGAATCTACATCAAGCAGCCGAGGACGCTCATGCAGTCGAGCAGGCAGCCAAGAAATCTCGTCTGAACGACGACACAGACGTGTCAGGGCAACTTTGTGGACGAGCCTTGCAGCCTTTTCCACCGCCCGGTACTACGCGACCAAAGGGTGCGGGTACCTAGGGCACAGCCCTGAATGGATCGCTCCAGAGATCTTCAGACTCAAGTGGAGGCACAGAATTTTGGAAGAACCGGATTTCCGCACTGAGTGGCATGCGCGGGTTGCTGCCACCAGACTCTCTTTTGAGCGTGAGGCTATTCTTTCGAATCTTTCCACTGAATCGGACTGTTGCGATCGCCCTGAACGCCCCACAAACCTCAGTGACTTTTGATGAACATTTCTCTTTACTTTGTTGTGATCCGGAAGCCCAGATTTGTACCACATTTCATGCTTCTCATGGCAAAGTGCAAGAATGCATTCATACATTTCAAAACCAGAGAAGCAAGGATGATGCTCCGCTGTCGAATGATTTGGCCGTGTTGAGCTCCCTTGCTGAAGATTTTGACTTACTTGAGCCCTTTCCCATGCAACAGGCAGCTCACAAGCAGCACCAGCCAGCCACATGTGACTTAAGTACTGTCTTTTCAGATGCTACGTGCCTGCTATCACATGCTCGAAACAGCATTGCCTCCCGGAGCCCTTCAAATCGTCCATCTTTTTGGACACCTGCAAGAACCCTCGAATGAATTCGTCGACCATGTGGCGAAGAAAGAAGCGCATTCCAGTTATTTCCTGCAGAGGCCACATTTCAATCTGCCTAAATGGAAGCAGCTTGTCCCCCATTTATGGTTGATTTTTGCAAGGCAGGCAGGCGCCCCGGATTTCTCTGGAGGGGGTTTCAATGTTCCTCCACCGGACTTGCCTGGCCAGACGACCGAAGGGACCAATCCTACAGGTCCTGACCAATATCGATTTTACCATCAGCCTAGCCACCGCAAATGTCTTGTCACTGGGCAAGCCTGACCAGGGGGTATGCCGGCAAGACCGCTTTCTTGCGGAAGCAATTTGCAGATTTGCACCTCAACTTTCTTGGATTGCAAGAAACCAGAGCAGACAATGGTGCCTCACAAGTTGATGGTGTGCTTCGTTTGAGTCCGGCCACGATAAAGGGATTTTTGGTGTAGAACTTTGGTGCAACTTGCACTGTCCCATCGGATACATTGCCAAGGCACCTGTATATTTGCAGAAGTCGCATTTCAATGTGGCACATCATGACTCCAGACGCATTTTAGTGCACATTGCATGCCCTTATCTGCATTTCTGGATTCTTGTCACCCATGCACCACAAAGCGGCAAGCCTTTCCATGAGAGGCAGGAATGGTGGACCGAAACTCAGACCATCCTTGATGCAAGGATCAAGCCAGCAGAACCAGTCTTTGTGTGTTTGGATGCCAATGCACCGCCGGGACCGTGTTATCACAGACATGTCTTTTCCAAAGGTTTTGCGTCAGCTTCTGGCACGGCCCTCCTCAGAGAATTCTGTGATCACTTTGATTTGTGCCTCCCTTCCACATCTGGCAAGCATTCAGGAGAGGTCGCTGCTTGGACTGCACCTGATGGGCTGTCATCACATGTGATTGATTACGCGCTTGTCCCAACTGCGCTTTTTGATGCTGTCACGCAATCCGACCGCTTTGACCTCGGCAACACTTGCGTTGACCACACACACCGGTAGGGCTTGAAATGCGATGGCAGGGGACCTCGACGATAGCACCCAAACCAAGCTCTTTGGCTGAGGTACCCCGATTTGATCGCAGCATGATTGCCCACGCAGACCTGCATGCGCCTTTGAGCATGCATGAGGTGAAGCCCTGGTCTTGCAGTGTTGATGTCCATTTTGCAGACCTTCAGGAACATTTGCTCAATTGCTTGCAAGTGCATTGTCCGAGGCCTCGAACTGCGGCCAAAAAACCTTATTTGTCGCCGGAATTGTGGACATCAAGGGAACAAAAGATCCGTTGCCGCAAGAATTTGAAAATCAACAGCAAACTGCTCCAAAGGGAAACTTTGGCGCGTGTCTTTTCGGCATGGCAACAGACTCTTGGCAAAGAGGACTCTGTCACGCTGGACATGTCATTGAATTTTGGCACTTCGCTCCGTTGCTTTGCCGTGCACCTCACATGCCAATATCATCGATTCTCCAAACAGCTGAGGACCAGCATTGCAAAGGCCAAATCCTTGCTGTTGAAACACGCACTGGATGAACTGCCGAGAAACACGCCTGCCAGTTGTATCCTACAAGTCCTGAGGGCATACACCGGTCCAAACCAAAAGCTACGGCAAGGCATGACACCTCTACCAGCCATCAAAGACCAGCATGGTGATGGTGCTCGTGGGCCCAAGACACTGTCAACAGATGGGCTGACTATTTCGCTGGACTCGAAGGTGGCGTTCGCATCGATGAGCACACGCAGAGAAAGGAATGGATTGAAAACTTGCAAAAGCTTTCAGCCACCAACCTGCACTTCCCCATTGAGCATCTGCCATCGCTGTGTGAACTTGAATTTTCACTTCGACAAATGAAAGCTGGAAAAGCCAGTGGACCTGATTCAATACCATCAGAACTTTGCAGAAGTTTCCCTGGCCCCATTGCCAAACAGATCTACACACTGATGATGAAGACGGCCATCCAAGGTCATGAACCTTTAGCCTTGAAAGGCGGCACAGCGTTGCCGATTTGGAAGGGGAAAAAGCAGAAGGATGTGTGCAGTGCCTTTCGCTCCATTTTGCTGTCATCCAATATTAGAAAGCCTTTCATAAGACAATGAGATCCAAGCAATCATTGATCTACGAAGCCTTTTTACAGCATCAACAGCTGGGAGGGCGCAAGAAGGTGCCAGTTGTCCTATACTCATTTGACCAAGGCGTTCCTGCGCACGCACCATGCCAGACAACATGCAACTGCAATTCTGTTTGTTGATTTGGAAGCCGCCTTTTATAAGGTTGTGCGACCGCTTGCCCTCTCTGGCCATTGGGATGACGAACTTTTAGCCTGCATGACGGCGCGCCTCAATTTGCCGACGGACACTCTCCATGCACTGCACAACAATCTGCAACAGCCTGGGGCCACATTGACGGCTGCTGGGATGGATGCACACTCACGCAGAGCCCTCCAGGCTGTCCATACGGACACCTTCTTTCAAGTCCCCTCGCAGGAAGACAGAACCCAGACGCACCTCGGAACAAGACCGGGAGATGCGTATGCGGACGTTGTTTTCGGGTATTTGATGGCTCGTATCTTGCACAAGTATCAAGACCAGCTTAGTCAACTACAAGTTCTTTCCGAAATTCCTGACATGGAGTCGCCAGTCCTCTTTGGACGTGCAGGCCATCAGAGACCATCCCCAGTGCCTTTTGTAGTAGGACCAGCCTGGATGGATCTTGCTCTTTGCCTCTGGGGCCAAACCACAGATGCTGCGGTCGCCAAACTTGGAGTTGCAACAGGGGTATTGTTAGACCTCTTTCGGGAGCATGCCATGAGCCCTAACCTCTCGCGAGGCAAGACAGAGCTCATCCTGACGCCCAAAGGTCCCAAGTCCAATGTGTGGAAAAAACGACTGTATGGACCAACTGCCTCGGGCTTTTCCCAGTTGTAGGAGAGGCTGAAACATATCAGGTACCAGTCGTGTCAACATACCTTCATTTGGGCAGCCTGATTCACCATTCAGGCGCAACCAAACAGGAGGCGAAGACAAGCGCATCGAGTTATTCCAATGCCTGGTCATGAGTAAACTCTCTTACGCCATGGAAACATGGACACTCCAGGACTGGCAGACAAGGGAGTACGTGCATGCAGCCATCATGCGTCTCTACCGACGCCTCCTGAAGGCTGCCCCAGATGAGCATCTGTCAGATGACATGATATTGGTGACATTGGGACTGCCATCTCCAACAGAGGTTTTCCAACATGCACGTCTCCGATATCTGGCCACTTTGATGCAAGTAGGCGAACAAGCCTGCTGGGGATTGTTGAATCAAGACCAAGCCTGGCTCGATTTGGTGCAAGATGACTTAGTTTGGATGTGGCAGCAGTTGGCCAACACCAGTGCGCTGGGCGATCTGGCACAGCACTTTGAACGCTAGCTGGAAATCATGCACTTCCATCGACCATATTGGCGAAGGCTGGTCCGACGTGCCACCCATGCCATCCAACAGAGGGCCAAGCTGCACCGCTGCCGCCATTTTCATCTTGATGTGAAACAGATTTTGTAGAAGCATGATTATTGGACCTTGCCGGAGCCCACTGATCGGGTAAAAGCCAGTGAGCCCAGTCAATCCCATTTTGGATGCATGCTTTGCAGACGTAGTTTCCGTTCCCTAGGGGGCGAGGGTGCACACATGCTTCGCAAACATCAAGTGGTTCATCCAGTCAAGTTTTTGTTCGAGAGCACGCAATGTGGTGCATGCCTTAAAGAATATTTCACGCATGGAAAAATGAAGATGCATGTGATCCGCTCGGCCCCATGCCGAACATATTTGCTATCACATGGCGGACGCTACCACCCTGCGCCCGGCCTGGGCTCGAGTGAGGACCAGCAACGCCACATTGAGCATGACAACAAACTGCCACCTCTGCAAGCACTGGGACCTGTTCTGCCGCCACCGAGACATCGTGACTTGAGCTTGGTCCATTGGGACATACATGATGCCATTGTGGAGTCGGCCTTGACTCTAGAGGCCGAAGATGATTTCAGGCTGGCTGTGCAGGAGATTATCCTTGCAACACCGATCTCTTGGTCACGATGCCAACTTACCCTGCAAGAGCTTCTAGCCACCATTGCCACTGAGACAGAGCCTCTAGGTATTGTGTCTTTGGAGCATGCCAGGAGATGTCTGGAACAACTTGGCGTGAGTGAAGCTTGGACATTCTTGCAAGAGAAGCAGACGGGAGCTGACAGAGCGGACACTCTGGAGGATCTGGGGGAGACTCTTCGAAACTTCCAACCACCAGACAGCCCTCACTCCCAGCCAGTACCTGGACCTAGATGCATTGGACTGGACGCCATCGAATCGTGCTTCACGCCTTCAGTGGTAGAAGGCGCATAGGAGACATACAATTTACATTCCAAAGCGGCAGATGATACTTTGCTTCATGTTGTGTCTTTGGATTTGATAACAGATGCAGTTTGGGGGGACACCACCAGACCGGCCACCAAGCAGTTTTGGCGACAAGCTGCGGATGATGGGCTGGCGCACGGCTTGTTAGCCGGACCCCCTTGCGAGTCCTGGTCGCAGGCCAGGTTTGTCCAGACCGGAACTGGATCAGGACCGCGTCCCATCAGATCAGCTGATTTCTTATGGGGGGCTGGAATCTCTGAGTTTGCGGGAGTTGGCCCAAGTGATGATTGGGAACGACTTGCTGTTTTTCGCGTTAGACCTGTTACTTCGTCTTTACTTTGTGCAAGGATTTGGCGCGATTGAACATCCAGACGAACCAGAGGAAGTATTCAAACCCTCCATTTGGAAGTTGGCAATCTTGTCCCTGTTTCGAAGTCTTCCTGGCTTCGAGGAGATCCGGTTCGGACAAGGGCTCCTGGGTGCTAGCAGTCCAAAACCCACCAGACTGCTCGCGTTGAATTTGCCTGGCCTTCAATGCACACTGCGAGCTCATCATATCACCAAAAATCCACCGAAACGCTCCTCGATCGGAAAGGACTCATCTGGAACATGGTGTACAGGATTTCTGAAGGAATATCCACCGGCAATGAGTAGAGCTCTTGCCGTGGAGTTCCTTGCATGGTTTGCACGGCAGGAGACGGACAACACACTGCCGTATGACATCGTATGACATGCCCTTCCTTGCCAGGTGCCAGCTCATGAATGCACAGGAGCTGACGCATCACATTGGCAAGGACTACACTTCCAAGTAAGTGTAAAGAATTCAAGCTCGCAGCGTCGTCAGACTCTATGTGCGGGAAAAATATATATATAATTTATATAATTTATTTAATTTATATAGGAATTTTGAAATCCTCGTCACGTTTGCATCTACAGATCTGTGCACACAATACATCGAAAGAAGTGAGTCACACTTTGCAGTTTCGACACTGTTTTCGACTGAAACGTAACGAAACGTAACGAAATGTAACACTATTTCTCCAAAAAACGTGACTTCTCGATGCTCTTTAGCAATCCGTAAATGTTCAGCTTCATTGCTCGGAACCCCTTTGAGATTTCACTCCAGCACTCAGCATGAGATCGTGCATGAGGTAAAGACATAAGGCCTTGTTAAGGCCTTGTTAAGGCCTTGTTAAGGCCTTAAAATTACGTGGAAAAATGTTCAAAATACATCAAAATATACGATTTTGGCTTTTTTTCGGAAACTGTAGTGTATGCAGTTGCATCCTGTTGCATCCTTATTTTTGCCTTGTGGAAAGATAAGGAAACATATGCACATTTTCTATGTTCATAGAAACATGTTGGTTCATCAGTTGGGCTGAGCTGACGTCAGCAGTTCGACCATGGAGTCCTGCTCCTCTGGCGGATACTGAAGCTCCTGAAACAAAGTCCTCGCTATTTGATCCAGATTTGATCCAGTTGCACATAGCGAGTCCCGTCAGGGGCCAGACATCACCATTGGGTTTCCATTGGGTTTCCATATGGCGCCCATCGCTGCAACCCATGGGGTTCTGTCAGGAAACTCTGATGTCAAGTCCCCCAAAGTCGGCCTCATGCGACCCAAGGCCTCTTCTTGGCGGAATTTCTCCTCCATGCCTTTGGCCTTCGTTGCTGGAAAATGGATACCAATCTTTATGAATCATAAGGTCTGTGGATGTAAGGGCGCACATTGTTGGTTATGTTTCGGACACAACAAACAAACACACGCGGACTTCGGTAATGGTTCATGCCACGGCGGTAGCAGTGGCAGTCAAACCAAGCGAGGTTCAGTGCGCATGTGGCACATGGACATGATAAGTGATTGCCAAAGTGTTGCCAGTCTCAGGTGGACGGCCAGGACAATTTGTGTACAAAGGGGTTGCAAACCTTCAGCGTATCCAAGACTTCAGCGAGAACTCGGTGAAGCCATAGAACTTTGCTGACTGCAAGCACAAAAAAACTGGTGCACTGATCCACTGACATGATGGTCAAAACCTTGTAGTGTCAGAATGTGGGCATGGCGCCCGTCATGTCTGAATCCAAACCGCAGAACCACGAACAGATTGAAGACACAAGGACGTGACGTAAGCAGTGCAAAATGCTCTCCCGCAAAGTTCCTCAAAGCAGGACCAGCTTGCATGCAGGAAGGGCCAGGCTTCGGCTCTCGTGATGCATTCAACTCCAAACTTGTTCGGCATAAATGACATTCCAAGTGAAGGTCCAGTCTAGTGGCTGTACTGTGCCAGCTGTACCAGGCATGGAGTTTGAACAAGCTGTTCCGAGCGATTTGTGTTCTACAAAGGCCATCGCAGGAACAGACTCAAGCAGCAAAGCATTGCATGACGTTGCAGACAAAAAGGTGAAAGTGCTCTGAGCACAACTTGTCATTGTATGATGCTGCTGCGTCCAAACGAAAAGGCTAACGCCATCCTGATGGCAGAAGGCATCAAAGAAGTTCACGCCATGATTGAACCGACCCTCAACCTTCTGCTGAACAGCTCTACCCCTGGTAGGAGTTGAGCCGAGAGCTACAACAAACAAACAAAACCGTGTCTTCTTTTGATAGGGAGACACCAATTTTCACTGAGAAACGCTTTGCTCGTTCCATTGACCTGATGACAGGGGCATTTGGACCAATCAATTCGAATGTTATTATGACCTTAATCTAAGCATTAAGGCATTATTTTGACATTATTGTTGGCTTATTTTTGGCTTACTTTGGAAAATTGTAATTTTACAAGGTATGCGATATTAATTTGACCTGAAATTTGACCCTGTTTTGAGCTTATTGTGCCCTTATTTTTGGAATATGTTTGGTTTATGTTGAAAAATTACAAGTTTAACAAGGAATGTGACCTTAATTTGACTTTAAATTTAACCTTATTTTGAGTTCATTTTTGGTTTATTGTGGCCTTGTTTTGGTTCATTTTGGAAAAAGTTGTGCAAGGTAATCAACGTTATATTGACTTTATTTTGGGCTTATTTTCATCACGATGAAATTTTGGAGGTTGCATCCATTTTTTCACCATGCCACTTTAGGTAAAATGAATGTATCATCAATAACGACCAGCCCCAACGGTATGAACGCAGAACAGTCTTTTGCGTCGGGCGGAATCGCCCTTCGAATGAAACGGAAACAATGTAATCATTCCGTGGTGTAAGGGAACAATTACAGGATGCAAAAGATTTCCGGCGCGTTTAAACTTTGAAACTGTTGGCCCCAACACCATGACAAAGAGAATCAAAATAGCAGGGCGTTTGCTGGTCCCCCCGTGCAGAAAACAGCCTTTGGTTACCTTCTTTTGTGTTTAAATCATCATAGTTCCACAGGTTCCAAAAATAAGCCTTGGATACCTTATTTTGGTGTTAATTTATTCCGAGCAAGGGGTATGAAAAATAAGGATTTCTTTGGGGGCTACCCAGCAGCCCTATCTTCCCAATAGGATCAGGCAGAATTTGAGAAAGCAGGTCTTGAGAAGGATTGAAATCTCAGGCACTGACTACTTGATTTGAATTGCGGCAAGAGCAAATGCCCTTACGTAGGCTTTCAGAAAGGCCCGTGACAACGCGATACAATCTGTGTATATCAGCCTCGTGAAACAGTCACTTTCATGCAAAAATCCATGCCGACTGCAGGTTTGAACTGCAGGTAAATCTCCGCAGAATGGAGGTAAGTGGTATATATATGGTATATTGGTTTCACCGGTTTCAAACGCGGATGTGTTCTGTGTGTAAGCTCCAGCGATTTCGTGGTCCATGTTGAACATGATGTGTTGACTATGCGCAAAGCGGTGTTTAGAGTTTCGGAGTTTTTGAAGATGTTGAAGATGTTTTTGAAGGTGTTTAGATGTGTTTAATATGCTTTAATGATGTGCGGGTGTGCCTTGGATGTTTTTTGACTTTGGGCAAGGTTTCCTTGAAAACAAGGATGCGATATCCAACAACGCAGATAATCTGAACTCACAGATGCAAGGCTAATCGGAAAAGTATCAAGGGGGTTCATGACGCAGACTTTCCCAATCGACTTCAGGGGACTCGCTGACCCATGCTGCCACGCCAGAATGCCGGCAATTTCACATGCCTTGCATTCTTTATCTTGTCAACGCTGATTTTTTGGTTCCGTGAAACTGTACTTCTTGCTGTAGACTTGGAGGCCATTATAGTTCTCGAAGTTTCAAAGTAGAACGGATTCTTTAAGTTCACAGGCATGTGGCAAGTTTTGCGTCAAGATTCAGTCAGCTTCTTGAAAAACGATCCATGACATTCTATCACTACTGACACTGCTTGCGTCATGGCACTAATCCGCGATGAAGACTTTGATGCGTTCCTTGGCTGTGTTGGAATTTGTCGTTACCGTGGTTCATGCTGGCCAGGATTCAACTGTTTAGTGGCCATGGCCATGCCTTCTTGCCAATCACTAAAACATTAGTGACAAAATGCATCAAAATGTCCAATACAAAAATCAAAAATCAAAACACTTGGAGGCTGCCAGTGGTGTGGCCTGTTCCACGATGTTCCACGATGCCTCGACACTTGCAGTATTCCTCCAGTTCATTCCACACTTGGATCCACTTGGTTATCAACCAGCTGGGTACCATGCATCGATGCATGGCTGTCATTTGCATTCAGATATTATATTGCTGCTCGCATTGCAACACCATCTCGGCAGCCGAAAAGAAAATCAGATGGAGTATTGCTCCATGCGAGTCTTTGTCCTCTTTTTGTTACTTTGTCCTCTTTATGAGTCTTCATCTCTTTATTCCTTGCTGATTTCTTGCTGGTTAACCCGTGATCATGATCACGAAAGCTAGCATCAGCTAGCTGAAGTTGCTCTTGCTTTAGCATGGAATATGGCAGGGAAACTATCACGTAGGAGGCCACCCCCTTCCAAAAGTCTTGTGATCGAAGAGTCCTGGGCCAAATCCCCCAGCCTCACATGATATAGGTACGTTGGCGCAATTTTTCCTCACCAAACCTTCCTATATATCCATACTAGGTACTTCAGCAAAGCCTCCTTACCCCAGCACCTACTTTCCTGTCCAACCACGCGTTTCCAGGCAAAACCTTCCCTACGCCTGGAAACTTCACCAGACTGGACGCAACAGACAATAATAAGGAAAGTAGGGATATGACCGGGATATGCACCTATTATTCTGCTGTTTTTGGCTCCTCTCAATCCGTACACATTGGGCCCCGATCAACCTCCGCTGCTAGATCCTCCTAGCTAGCCTCCGTCACCTACCCTGGCTTCAGGTTAATCACAAAAGTCGCAGAATTGATCATGTTGCATTTGTCTCATTGACTGGGTATGTGTATGCCGCTTTGCACGTGCCCGGCAAGCACACAAAACAGACCTATTAGGGCCAATGACTTGCTTGCTAGTGTTGCTGCTCTCGATCGCTACTTGACTATGATTGCACGTTCTCTCCTTGGCACATCCTCCTGAAGCGGTCCCGGTCTTATGTCAAGTCTTGAAATTGACGTTCACCTCCAATGTAGATGTAATACTTGATGCCTCGTGGATGTGAGGCATTGTGAGGCAACGGCGTTCTCGTGTGCTGAGGTTGATTGGCAAACTGACCAGCGCTCATCAAAACCAAGTGAGCACTCTTCAAAGGAAGGCGCGCAGAGATTGCAGACTTGCAAGAATGGCGGACCAGATGGGACAGGATGGATGGGCCATATGAGGAC